GAGTGTGCCCTTGGCACGGACGTCCTTGAGGACAGGCAGGAGGAGTTCCAGTGCTTGGCCGCTGCTTCACCTCATCTCGTGTCCGTACTGCTTACCCCTGAGGGAGACCCGGATGCACTTGACATCCCGACTCCGCGCTCTTACGCGGAGGCGATAGAGGGTCCCTACTCCTCTCAGTGGCAGGCAGCTATGGACGCAGAGATGGCTTCCTGGAAGTCCACAGGCACCTACGTTGACGCTGTTCCCCCTCCTGGGGCGAACATCGTCAGTGGCATGTGGATTTTCAGGGTGAAGCGACCGCCGGGTTCTCCGCCTGTCTTCAAGGCGCGTTACGTGGCTCGTGGCTTCAGTCAGCGGCAGGGAGTTGACTACTTTCAGACCTTCTCTCCCACCCCGAAGATGACCACTCTTCGGGTACTGCTGCACGTAGCTGCTCACCGTAACTACGAGCTACACTCTCTTGACTTCAGCACTGCTTTCTTGCAGGGCAGCCTGCACGAGGAGATCTGGCTGCGTCGCCCACCTGGCTTCACTGGGTCTTTTCCTCCTGGCACCCAGTGGAGCCTACGGCGGCCAGTCTACGGTCTCCGCCAGGCACCGCGTGAGTGGCACGACACACTGAGGACTACACTTGCGGCTCTTGGGTTTGCTCCCTCTACTGCCGACCCGTCGCTGTTTCTGCGCACCGACACTTCTTTGCCGCCGTTCTACATCCTCGTGTACGTCGACGACTTGGTCTTTGCCACAGCTGACACTGCAGGACTAGCCCACGTGAAGTCCGAGCTGCAGAAGAGACACACGTGCATTGACCTGGGTGAACTGCGCAGCTACCTTGGCTTGCAGATCACTCGGGACAGAGCACGCCGCACCATTACCCTGACTCAGTCACACATGGTGCAGCAGGTCCTTCAGCGCTTCGGCTTCACGTACTCCTCGCCTCAGGCCACTCCTCTGCCTACTCGCCACTCGCTCTCAGCTCTGCCTTCGGATGAGTCCGTAGAGTCGAGTGGCCCGTACCCAGAGCTTGTTGGCTGCCTCATGTACCTGATGACCTGCACACGACCTGACCTTGCATACCCTCTTAGCATCCTTGCACGCTATGTTGCTCCTGGGAGACACAGACCGGAGCACATGGCTGCAGCGAAGAGGGTGTTGCGCTACTTGTGCAGTACGTCGGGCATGGGGCTAGTGCTTGGAGGGCAGAGTCCAGTGGTCCTTACTGGGCACGCAGACGCTTCTTGGGCTGACGACCAGGCTACGCAGCGGTCGTCACAGGGTTACACCTTCAGCCTTGGTTCCGGCTCTGTTTCGTGGCGGGCTACTCGCTCGTCTTCTGTTCTCGGCTCCAGTTGTGAGGCTGAGATCTACGCAGGAGCCATGGCTGCACAGGAGCTTCGCTGGCTCACCTACCTGCTGACTGACCTCGGAGAGTTGCCTCGTTCTCCTCCAGTGCTGTACGTAGACAACAAGGCCATGCTGGCCTTGTGTCGGGAGCAGCGACTGGAGCACAGAACGAAGCACATTGCTCTCCGCTACTTTCTTGCTCGTGAGCTGCAGCAGCGTGGTCAGCTGCGTCTTGCGTACGTGGCCTCTGAGGCCAACACTGCTGATATCTTCACCAAGGCACTTGCGCCTTGTGACCATCAGCGCTTCTGTACTCAGCTGGGCCTTGTGCCTACCTTGCCTCACTTGCTCACCTCTTGACCTTGCTTGTACTGTTACATATATATATACCTGCTCTTGTTTGTCTAGCCTTTTTATATATATGTGTACTCCTGCTTGTGAACTGGCCTTGTGGCCTTGAACTTGTGCTCGGAATGTGTGGTGACTTTGTGATCCACCCTGAGCTTGTTTTTGCTTTGCTTTGCTTGACTGGTCTTGTGACCCCTTGTTCTCCCCCACTTTGCCTATGGGGGTGTGTCAGATTTATATGACATAGCTACTGTAGGCTATAGTGGGGTAGCACATATGGGGTACAGTTTTCTAGGGTTTGCTTCTTGTACCCAACTTTCACTTAGTCATTTCATTCCTCGTTTCTTCTCACTGTGAAAAACGAGAACTAGGAGCGCAAGGTGAAACCAGGCGAGTAACTGCTGGAGCACGGAGCGAACTAAGCTAGGAGCGCCAGGTGAAACCAGGCGAGTAACTGCTGGAGCACGGAGCGAACTAAGCTAGGAGCGCCAGGTGAAACTAGGCGAGGAACGGCTGGAGCACGGAGCAAACTGAGCTAGAAGCGCCAGGTGAAACTAGGCGAGGAACGGCCGGAGCACGGAGCAAACTGAGCTACGAGCGAGGAGCGAGAACGGCTGGAGCGAGAACGGCTGGAGCTAGAAGCGGCGAGCTAGGGCTGGCTGGAGGTAGGAACGGCCGGGGCTAGAGACCGTAAGTGCGGCTGTCGGCTGCCGCTAGTAGAGCCACTGGCAGTGGAAAGTACGTGCGACAGTAGGGGCTGCAGTACTGACGGCTGCGGGATGTAGGCAACTGTGCAGGTCGTCCGGCAAGCAGGAACGCGGGCGACAGTCGCAGGCCCCCACTGTGAACCCCTTTTTTTTTTTTTTTTTTTTTTAGGGTTTAATTTATTTATTTATTTTCTGGCACTAAAGCACCCCGAGGCGCGCTGCCTGCAGGGTGTGCTGCCTGCGGGGCGCGCTACCCACGGGGCGCGCCTCCTGCGGGGCGCGCTACCCGCGGGGCGCGCTACCCGCGTGGCGCGCTGCCTGCGGGGCTGGGGTGACGAGCCAGGGAGGGCGCCTGGGCGACGGGCTAGGACGGGCGCCTGGGCGACGGGCTAGGGCGCAGGCCTGGGCGACGGGCTAGGACGGGCGCCTGGGCGACGAGCTAGGGCGCAGGCCTGGGCGACGGGCTAGGGCGGGCGCCTGGGCGACGGGCTAGGGCGGGCGCCTGGGCGACGGGCTGGGGCGGGCGCCTGGGCGACGGGCTGGGGTGGGCGCCTGGGCGACGGGCTCGGGCGGGCGCCTGGGCGACGGGCTAGGGCGGGCGCCTGGGCGACGGGCTGGGGCGGGCGCCTGGGCGACGGGCTGGGGTGGGCGCCTGGGCGACGGGCTGGGGCGGGCGCCTGGGCGACGGGCTGGGGCGGGCGCCTGGGCGACGGGCTGGGGCGGGCGCCTGGGCGACGGGCTGGGGCGGGCGCCTGGGCGACGGGCTGGGGCGGGCGCCTGGGCGACGGGCTGGGGCGGGCGCCTGGGCGACGGGCTGGGGCGGGCGCCTGGGCGACGGGCTGGGGCGGGCGCCTGGGCGACGGGCTGGGGCGGGCGCCTGGGCGACGGGCTGGGGCGGGCGCCTGGGCGACGGGCTGGGGCGGGCGCCTGGGCGACGGGCTGGGGCGGGCGCCTGGGCGACGGGCTAGGGCGGGCGCCTGGGCGACGGGCTAGGGCGTGGGCCTGGGCGACGGGCTAGGGGCGCAGGCTAGGGGCGCGGAGGGCGCTAACGCGCGGAGGAGGAGGGCGCTAAGGCGCGGAGATGGCGCGGAGGGCGCGGTGGCTAAGGCGCGGAGGGCGCGGAGGGCGCGGAGGGTGCTAGGGCGCAAGGGCGCGGAGAATGCTAGGGCGCAAGGGCGCGGAGGGCGCTAGGGCGCGAGCTAGGCTAGGCTAGGCGAGAGGATCGACACCTACTCATGATACCATCTCAAAGTTAGCGAACAACGGAATGATTGGAATAGAAACGAATGGGGTACAAATGAGCAACCCTATAAGCTGTACCCCCTAGAGTGCAACTCACTGTAGCCTATCATATCAATGTTCAACATTTGACATGTACCCCTCTGAGTACATGGCTAGCTAGGATTGCTATTTATATCCTTGTACTCCTATCTTATAATCATCTTGTTCCTTTCAATCTTATCAACAAGGTCATTACAGAGACTTTCACAGTTCTCTCCTATACTTAGCAGCTTTATCCTGTCCACTACGATCCTTCAGTTATAACATCACATGGAATTTGAGCTTTCTGCACTAGGGGGGGTCTAATCCTGAATGCATTACAAAAAGGGGGGTCTAATACAAAAGTGGAGATAACATTAGACCCGCCCCCATTTAATCACCCGGGGGCAGGGCCTGAGAAGTCAGTGAAAAAAGGCTGATTTAGGTTAAAAAGGCTGAGATTTCAGACCTTTTTTAGAACTGAGGCTGATATTTCAGCAATTTGTTGAAAAGAAACATGAATTTTGTTTTTAGATTTGTAGTGTAAAATGGTGTAAAATGGCTGTTTTGTCTAATTTTCAGCAAAACGTTTTGTACCAACTCTGAATTTTCAGCTTAGACCAAAACGAATATGAGGCCCTGCCCGGGGGGCTATAATGGGGGGTCCATTAGCCGGGTAAATACGGTGTTAGTGTTTTACTAAAAAATAATAAAATGTTATAGGTTTGCGCTTATAATAAGTACGGGTACAAAATGGGGTGCGCCTATAATCGAGGAACGGCCATAAGCGCCTGCTCCAGATATAGGCGCCGGCGCCTTTAATCGGACGGCCCCTATATCCGGGGCCATACGGTATTATAAGCGAACTCTCCAAGTAGATGTAATTAAGTTGGAGCGTTACTAGTCACAATTAATGTCAAAAGAGGAATATCAATCAACAATTGCGAGGTGAGCTCTAAAGTGATCGCGCACAAGATGTCAAAGGTTTAAACCCTCAACCTTGTCCCCCACCTCTCACTCCTTCCCCAATGATCCCCATCTATTCGTAGACGAATCTCTCCGCGGTTGTGACTGAGATTCGCGTTTTTCATTAACGTTAACTGTGATAGACTTGAAAATACGGTGTCTTTAGCGACAGATCGTAGTGCGACTACGAGCATGGAGGTGGTAAGTGATGGAGGTGTGCCTGGGAAAGGTGCGACTGTGGGAGATGCGACGGGGGGAGTTTCGACGGAGGGAGGTGCGACGGGAGAATGTGCGACTGGGGTAGGTGCTTCTCGAAACGGTGCTCCGAGTGAAACCGCAACTACTGTGACACAAGATTCTCCCGCCGAGTTAACAATGTGCGATGTGACTGTAGGCGAAACGGTTGAGGGCGGTTCCGGATCGGCGCAGAAAAAGGAAGCAGGCGATTGTAGCGAAGGGAACGGAGCGCGTGACAGTATCGAAGTGAGGGAAAAGAGTGCGTGTAAGGAGAGCGCGGAGGTTAAAGGAAAGAGCGCGGAGGGTAGCGACGCAAAGGGAGTGAGCCGTGCGGAGGAAAAGGGAAGGGAGGGAGTGCTTAAGGAGGAGGAAGATGGGGTAAGGGGAACGGATGGCGAGGCGAAGGAGAAAGAGACTGGGGAGGAGGGGAAGTTGGAGGTGTTGGAGGAGGAGGAGGGTAGGGTGAAGGCAGGAGGGCTAGATTCTAGGGCAGGAGAGGCGGCAGGAGAGGCGGCAGGAGAGGCGGGAGGAGAGGCGGCAGGAGAGGCGGGATTTAAGGAAGATGGGAAGGAGGAGGCTAGAGACATGGATCATGAAGGGTTTAACGGGAAGGAGGAGGAGATGATGGGCGGAGAAGAAGAAAAGGATGAGGTGAAGGGGAAATATGTGGAAGAGGGTGGGGTGGTGATGCAGGAGAAAAACGAGGAGAAGGAGGAGAGTGAGGAAGAGGAGGAGAGTGAGGAAGAGGAGAGTGGAGAAGAGGAGGAGAGTGAGGAGGAGGAGGAGGAGGAGGAGGAGGAGGAGGAGGAGGAGGAGAGTGAGGAGGAAGAGGAAGAAACAGCAGAGGACGCGGATGAAGCAGAGGAGGAGAAGGAGGGGGAGGAGGAAGAGGAAGAATTACGCAATGACATGTTGATAGAGGAAGAGGAGGAGGAGCTGGAGAGGCTTGAGGGCCATGTGGGAGACACAGGGGAGCCGGTGAGTGGCTTGGGTGACTGGCAGGCAGTAGGGTTTTGACCTGGGTGTGGCTTGACGGCACTTGAGGGGCACATGGGGCACATGGGGGACATGGGGGTGCCGGTGAGTAGCATATGTTACAGGGCACCGGGGGGGGGGTTTAAGGCGTCAGGGTTTTGGGCGTTTCGAAAGAAGCTTGAAGGGCACGTGGGGGACATGGGGGAGCCTGTGAGTAAGGGTGAATGTCCACGGGTTTAAGGAGTTAGGGTTTGGAACATATCGACACGAGGCTTGAGCGGCTCGAAAATCTGGGAGAACTGTTTTTGTGACTGGGCAGGGGGGTAAAGGCGTCAGGGATGGACCTGGGTGGCGCTGACGACACTTGGGTTGGGAGACATGGGGGAGGCGGTGAGTGGCTTTAAGGGCTAGGGTTTCTGGTTCATCACCTCTTGCCCGCGCTCCTCTCTTGCTATCTCTTTTCTCCCTCCCATCCCTCTCCCTCCCACCTCTCTCCCTCCCTCCCTCCCCCCCTCCCTCCTCACCCCCTCCTCTCTCCCTCCTGCCTCTCTCCCTCCCATCCTTCTTCTCTCTCCCTCCCACGTCTCTTGCTCTTCTTCTCTCCCTCCTTCATCTCTTCCTCCGTCTTCTCTCCCTCTCTCCCCTCTCCCCCTCTCCCTTTCCCCACCTCCTCTATCCATCCCTTCTCTCTCCCGCCCCCCTCTCTCCCTCCTCTCTCCCTCCCACCTCTCCCGCTCGTCTGACCCATTCCCCACCCTAGGCTCCCACCTCTTTCTCCCATCTCTTCCTCCCACCTCCTCCTCCTCCCCCTCCACTCCCTTCCCTCCCCTCCTTCCCTCCCACCTCCCCTCCCACCTCCGCGTCCCACCTCTCTCTCCCCACCACTCCTGCTCGTCTGCCCCATTTCCCACCGTTCATGCCTCCCAGGGCCTCCCTCCTGTTGCAATTCACAACGCGGACGTTTGACTTCCAGAAATCCACTATGCTTGCTCTCCGATCTGCCAATCCCTGCCTCTGCCCCATTCCCCACCCTCCCACCTCCACCACCTCTTCCTCCCACCTTTCCCTCCACCTCCCCCTCCCCACCTCTCCCGCTTGCCTGGCCTGTTTCCGACATGTGTGCATCACAGGGCCTCCCACGGTCCCACCTGTCGCAATTCCCAACGTCAAGGTGGAGGATTCGGATGAGCTTTTGCCTCTGGGCCGCGTTTCCCTCTACCTCTCCCTTCCCACCTCTCCCGCTACTCTGCCCCATTCCTCACCATTCATGCCTCCCATAATAGGGCCTCCCGCCCATTGCAATTCTCAACGTCTAGCTTCAATTTCTAGTGAGCCACAATATGTATTCCTCGATCTGCCAATCCATGCTGCCTGCATGCATCTGCCCCATTCCCCACCATTCATGCCTCCCACAACAGGGCCTGCCACCTGTCGCGATTCCCGATGTCAAGGTGGAAGACTCGGACGAGCTCCTGCCTCTGGGCCACGTGTCAGCTGTAAGTCTGTGCCACGTGTCAGTGATGAGGTGCGGCACGTGTCATTGGTGAGGTGTGGCACGTGTCATTGGTGAGGTGTGGCACGTGTCATTGGTGAGGTGTGGCACGTGTCATTGGTGAAGCTCATGGTACGATCCGTAGCAGTACACAGTACGACTGATTTTTATTGAGTTTTGCTGCTGGGCCAGCCACCGGACCAAGTATCCCTGCAAGCAAAGCATACACAAATGGGTCAAGTAAGTAAGATGATTGAAGCTTCAGTAGGTGGTCAAATCTTGTATCACTTTATTCCGAAGGGATGGTAGTTTTTTTTTTTTTTTTTTTTTTTTTTTTTTTTTTTTTTTTTTTTTCCCTCAAAGCTTGCCTCACTTTCGTCCATTGGTTTGAGAGTTTTAAAAATCTGAAGCTTCAGTAGTTGCTGGAGACATTTGTTTAAAACTCCTCAAAAGGATTGTCAAAACTGGTGAGGTCTGAGGCTACCCAAAACACTTGAGAGGCGATTCAGTTAATCTAATGTGGCTTGCAACAAAAGAAGATCCAGAGACGTTGCTTCGTTATTGCATGCCACGAGTCCCTCTTTTCTCCCACATGTTATCCCCCCCCCCGTTTCACACATGTTATCTGGCCCCTCATCTCTTGCTCCACTCCTCCTGCTCCGACCACCGCTGTCTCTTGTGGGTTGTGGAGGAGCTTTCCAGCCCTTGTTGTTCATGTATCAACCTCACGTGTGTAACCCCTGCTGCTACCACAGATTGTCGAGACATCAGTGGGGTTCAAGCTGACTCCTCTGCCCGCGCGCTAGAGGAAGGATTCCTGCTCTTCCTGTCAGATCACCGCTGCCTATTGGGTGTTGTGGATGAGATAATCGGTTCTTGTATCGATTCATTTCAGCTCCTTACTCTTCCCACATGTGACCCCTGTTTTGTGCCACACAGATCGTTGAGACATCAGTGGTGGTTCAAGCCGACCCCTCTGCCCGCGCTCTAGAGGAAGGATCCATACTTTTCTTATCTGAGCACCGGTGCCTGCTGGGTGTTGTGGATGAGATCTTTGGGCCGGTGAAAGCGCCGCTGTATCGCGTGCGGTTTAACACGAGAGAGGAGGTGCCTGCGCTGGCTACTGTGGGTGTAGCGGTGAGCTTTATAGAGAGGATGGCGGGGTATGTGCTAGATGATGCTGCGTTGAGGGCCAAGGGGTATGATGTGGGGGAGGATGGGGAGGAGGAGGAGGGGAGTGAGGAGGAAGAGGGGGAGGGTGGGGTGGAGAAGGGAGGGGGAGGGAAGGGAGGTGGGAAGGGAGGAGGGAGGGGAGGTGAGAGGGGAGGAGGGAGGGGAGGAGAAGGAGGTGTGGGATGGGAAGGAGGGGATGCGGAGGCAATGTTTAGTGATGATGAGAAGGAGGAGGAGTGGAGGAGGGAGCAGCGGAGGAGCAAGAGGAAGGGCGGGGAGGAGGAGGGAGGGCGAGGGAGACGAGGAAGTGGAGAGAGAGGGAGAGGGAGGGGAAGGGGAGGATGGGATGGTGAGGGTGGGAGGGGGAGGGGGAGGGGAGGAGAATGGGGAGGGGGAAGGGGAGGGGGGTGGGATGGACCAGGTGGGTTCGAGGGAGGAAGAGGAAGGAGAGGGAGGGGCGACAGAGGGAGAGGGGAGAGGGGGAGAGGCGAGGGAGGGAGAGGAGGGAGCGGATGGCAGGGGCAAGGAAGAGGGCAAGGAAGAGGGCAGGAGGGCGGCAGGCAGGAGGGCGGCAGGCAGCAGTGGCAGCAGGGCGGCGGGGCATCAGGCAGCCAGCCCTTGTATTCCCCACACGCACCTCCACAACCTTCCCCCATGGGTATGGCCCCTCCGCTGTTCATGGCTGGTCCCCCGCCTCCTTTCATGCCTCGCCCTCAAATGCCCATGCAGCAACAGATGCCTCCGCAGATGCAGCAACCCATGCAGCAACCCATGCAGCAACCCATGCAGCAACCCATGCAGCAGCCAGGTTTCGGGTATCAGCAACAGCCCCCTTCGTTTCACCAGCCCCTACAACCAGCTCACGCCCCTCCGTTTCAGCAGCAGCAGCAGCTACAGCAGCCCCCGTTTCTACCCCAGGGGCAGTACCAGCAGGGCTTTCAGCAACCACCAGCCGTTCACCAGCAGCAGCAGTGGCAGCAGCCGCAGCAGCAGCAGCCGTATCAGCAGCAGCCATACCAGCAACAACCACAACCAGTTCAATACCAGCAGCAGCAACAGCAGCTATACCAGCAACAGCAACCACAGCCGGTGCAATACCAGCAGCAGCAAACAGCATGGCGAGGCAACAATGACCCAGTGGCAGTGGCCTTCCATGCTCAGACCAGCCAGCAGCAGCAGTGGCCTACACAACCCATACAACCCATGCAAGCTCATAAACACATGCAAGCTATTCAGCCCATGCAGGCAGTGCAGCCTATGATGCCACAACCTAGTGTTGTTGGTCCACTCGGAACGAACGGGAATGAGTCACAACCACGCCCCCCTGGGATGGAGTGATCCCGTTCACGCGTGGCAGCTGGTGGGGTCCAGTCACGGGTCAGACGTTACTTTGCCGCCTGGGTGACTCTGCTGAGTTTGAGACGCCTCTGGGAACGAGAGGGGATGAGTCGCAGCCACGCCCCCCTGTTTATGTGTGGCAGCTGTTAGGGTCCACTCACGGGTCAGACGTTACTTGGCGCCACTTATGATCAAGGGTCTTTTTGTACCAAGGACACCTGACACTTGGAGTAGCTGGTGTTTCCAGAATGGTATAGCAAGGTAACTGATTGGGGAATCCAATACGTTAGAGTAATGTTTCCTGTTGGGAATAGAAATTTGACTTATGCAATTCAATAGTTCGATAGTATTAACACTACAGTAGTATCGTAGTATTATTATTATGTGTGTGTGTGTGTGTGTGTTACTGTAGCAGGTGTCCCTTCGCGTGAGTTACAGGCAGTAGTGCGAACAGTCTCGCGACTGTTCGTGTGACACAGGAAGATACTGCTTCATAGAGTCAACTCGACAAATAGCCTTGTTCGTGAACATGTACATTACTGAATAGGTACTTTCCTAGACTATAAATTTCGTGTACCTTTCCTTTATTTTCCTAGACTATATATAAATCTCTTGAATAGCACAGGAATTCCAGTCTTCCGCTGCATAATATTACAAGGACTAAACTCTAAAAGATCCTACGGCTTTTTCTCAGCCCAACATGGTATGAGAGCAGTGCCCAAAATTGGTTTTGGCCCACCCTGACAAATCAGGGTTCCAGGCCCCCAGTACCCTGACCCTTAGGGTAAAAAATTTAGTACCCTGCTGGAAACAGCCTAAAAACACCTAAAAAGTTCCATACACTGATTTACTCGCGATAGATTTGCAGTTAGGCTGTTTGTACAACATGATATTTCTTTAGTTGGTTAGGTTCTGGCTATGTGTTGTGAAAATGAGAACGAGAATGGATGAACTATGAAATGAAGTGAGTACAAATATGAAACCCTAATTGGTTGTACCCCCTATGGGATACCCCACTATAGCCTACACAACAGCATAAGCTACAATGTTCTGACACACCCCCATAGACAAAGTGGGGGAGAACAAGGGGTCACAAGACCAGTCAAGCAAAGCAAAGCAAAGCAAGCTCAGGGTGGATCACAAAGTCACCACACAGTCCGAGCACAGGGTCAAGGCCACACGGCCAGTTCACATGCAAGAGTACACACATATATATAAAGCTAGACAAGCAAGAGCAGGTATATATATATGTGAGAGTACAAGCAAGGTCAAGAGGAGAGCAAGTGAGGCAAGACGGGCACAAGACCCAGCTGAGTGCAGAAGCGCTGATGATCACAAGGCGGAAGTGCCTTGGTGAAGACATCAGCAGTGTTGGCCTCAGAGGCCACGTACGCAAGCCGCAACTGTCCACGTTGCTGTAGCTCACGAGCAAGGAAGTAGCGGAGAGCAATGTGCTTTGTTCTGTGCTCCAGTCGCTGCTCTCGACACAAGGCCAGCATGGCCTTGTTGTCTACGTACAGGACTGGAGGAGAACGAGGCGGCTCTCCAAGGTCGGTCAGCAGGTAGGTGAGCCAGCGAAGCTCCTGTGCAGCCATGGCCCCGGCGTAGATCTCAGCCTCACAACTCGAGCCAAGAACAGAAGACGAGCGAGTAGCCCGCCACGAAACAGAGCCGGAACCAAGGCTGAAGGTGTAACCCTGTGACGACCGCTGCGTAGCCTGGTCGTCAGCCCAAGAAGCGTCCGCGTGCCCAGTGAGGACCACTGGACTCCGCCCTCCAAGCACTAGCCCCATGCCCGACGTACTGCACAAGTAGCGCAACACCCTCTTCGCTGCAGCCATGTGCTCTGGTCTGTGTCTCCCAGGAGCAACATAGCGTGCAAGAATGCTAAGAGGGTATGCAAGGTCAGGTCGTGTGCAGGTCATCAGGTACATGAGGCAGCCAACAAGCTCTGGGTACGGGCCACTCGACTCTACGGACTCATCCGAAGGCAGAGCTGAGAGCGAGTGGCGAGTAGACAGAGGAGTGGCCTGAGGCGAGGAGTACGTGAAGCCGAAGCGCTGAAGGACCTGCTGCACCATGTGTGACTGAGTCAGGGTAATGGTGCGGCGTGCTCTGTCCCGGGTGATCTGCAAGCCAAGGTAGCTGCGCAGTTCACCCAGGTCTGTGCACGTGTGTCTCTTCTGCAGCTCAGACTTCACGTAGGCGAGTCCTGCAGTGTCAGCTGTGGCAAAGACCAAGTCGTCGACGTACACGAGGATGTAGAACGGCGGCAGAGAGGTGTCGGTGCGTAGAAACAGCGACGGGTCGGCAGTAGAAGGAGCAAACCCAAGAGCCGCAAGCGTAGTCCTCAGTGTGTCGTGCCACTCACGTGGCGCCTGGCGGAGACCGTAGACTGGACGCCGGAGACTCCACTGGGTACCAGGAGGGAAAGACCCAGTGAAGCCAGGTGGGCGACGCAGCCAGATCTCCTCGTGCAGGCTGCCCTGCAAGAAAGCTGTGCTGAAGTCAAGAGAGTGCAGCTCGTAGTCACGGTGAGCAGCAACGTGCAGCAGTACCCGAAGAGTGGTCATCTTCGGGGTGGGGGAGAAGGTCTGAAAGTAGTCAACTCCCTGCCGCTGACTGAAGCCACGAGCCACGTAACGCGCCTTGAAGACAGGCGGAGAACCCGGCGGCCGCTTCACCCTGAAGATCCACATGCCACTGACGATGTTCGCCCCAGGAGGGGGGACAGCGTCAACGTAGGTGCCTGTGGACTTCCAGGAAGCCATCTCTGCATCCATAGCTGCCTGCCACTGAGAGGAGTAGGGACCCTCTATCGCCTCCGCGTAAGAGCGCGGAGTCGGGATGTCAAGTGCATCCGGGTCTCCCTCAGGGGTAAGCAGTACGGACACGAGATGAGGTGAGGCAGCTGCCAGACACTGGAACTCCTCCTGCCTGTCCTCAAGGACGTCCGTGCCAAGGGCACACTCACCCCCGACGGACGGAGGACAGACAGACTCAGACTCAGCGACAAGACTAGCAGCGTAGTCTAAGCGACAGCGAGCAGCAAAGTCGACGAGCTCAGTAACGAGAGCCAACGCAGCAGTAGACTCGAAAGAAGGGTCAGTGACAACAGTAGCAAGGAGACGCGTGACAGTAGGACTGGCAGCACGAAGAGAGTCCGACTCCGGGTCGGCAAGAGCAGGAAGAGAGGACTCAGGAGGAGAAGGCAAAGGGGCACGCAGAGGAGCAGTGGACGGACGCAGAGACATCCGGTGCGTGCCAGGGACAGGAGGAGGACGCTGACGCGAACCGCGACCACTAGTGCGAGCAGCACGGACAGGCGACGCAGGGCGAGACGCAGGCTCACGACGCTCAGCCAGACCTCCAGTAGGACCAGTGTAGGGAGAAGGAGCAGGCAAAGGGGAGGTAGGCTGCAACTGTAGCTGGGACGAGACAGGCTGTGGACACTCTAAGGGAGGAGGAGGACCAGTAGAAGGTGGAAGACCAAGAACCTGCTGCAGGAGTGGAACGAAGTACGGTCGAGGCCGCGCGGCGACGCTAGAAGCAGCAGGGACAGCACCAGAACCCTCAGCAGGAGCACCCGCTCCAGCAGCACCACCAGTAGCTCCAGAACCTCCAGCAGCACCAGGAGCACCCCCAGTAGGACTGCCAGCGGTAGTCTCAGCGCCAACACCCTCAGCAGCACCAGCTCCAGTGCACCCAGGACGAGCACCTCCGGGACCCGCGACCGCAGCACCCTCAGCAGCCGAAGGACCTCCAGCACCAGCAGCACGCCTCCAGCGCCGGGCAAACCACTCACGCAGCTCCTGTGGCGAAAGTGGCTCCCGGCGAGACGAAGCACTCGGAGAACCTCCAGGCGGAGCACCTCCAGGCTCAGCACCCCCAGGCGTAGCACCCCTAGGCTCAGCACCCCCAGACGTAGCACCCCTAGGCTCAGCACCCCCAGGCTCCGCACCCCTAGGCTCAGCACCCCCAGGCTCAGCACCCCCAGGCTCAGCACCCCCAGGCTCAGCACCCCTAGGCTCAGCACCCCCAGGCTCAGCACCCCTAGGCTCAGCACCCCTAGGCTCAGCACCCCCAGACGTAGCACCCCCAGGCCCAGCACCCCTAGGCTCCGCACCCCCAGGTACAGCACCCCCAGCCTCAGCACCCTCAGCAGCACCAGAGTCACCAGTGACCTCGACAGGCTCGACTGCGTCTACCTGGGACACACCTGAAGGGGCAGGACCCTGAGGGGGGAGGGGGTCTACCTGGGGGGGACCTGGTACCAGGAAGAGTGGGGGTGGGGGGAGGGACGGAGTGCGGTAGGGGAAGAGGCGGTAGTAGGGGACCGACTCGTCAAATGTGACGTCCTGGGAGGACAGAACACGGCGAGAGGTGGGGTGGTAAAACTGCCACCCAGGCGCGTCAGGGGGGAACCCCAGGAAGACGCAAGGAGCAGCACGAGGGGATAGTTTGTCCGCAGACAGGTCGCGGACAAACGCCCGAGATCCCCAGACCCGGAACGCCGACGCATCGCCAACCTTCCCGGTCCACAGCAAGGCTGGGGAGGTCTCCGGCCTGGAGACCCTGGGGTGGAGGTTGATCTGATGCGCCGCGTACCTCACCGCAAACGGCCACAGAAAATGGGGGGCAGCCGCATGCATCATAGACGTACGAGCGACGTCCATGACCATGCCAATGCGGCGCTCAGCAATCCCATTTTGCTGCGGTGAGTCCGGAAGCGTGAAGGTCTGACGGATGCCCCGTGCACGACAGTAGGCACGCAGAAGGCCAGAGGAGAACTCTCCGCCTCTGTCCGAGTGCAGACGCAGAACAGGAAAGTCCGAGCCGAAGCTCTGCCTGAGCTGGAGACGAGCTGCGCGGATCCAGT